GAGCACGTGGAGATGTTAGAGCCAGTGGCTCCGGGAATGTCACCTGCATACAGCCTCAAGATAAGAGGCTATGACTCCCCAGGGCACAAGAGTTTGCATATCAGAAAGGAAGCAATAGCCCCCCAAAACAATTCCACTGCCACCTTAATTGCATTGTGTAAATTGATCCTTCTGCATGTCTTTATCTCTGCAAATTACAGAGATGCCATCTTGCACCTGGCCAGCCAGCTCAAGTTACTCAAGTAATTCCTGCCATCCTGATTGTCACTCATCCCTGAGCCACCCCCTGCTCACAAGATACTAAATGCTGGAGGGGCCTGGGATCAAGGCCTTTGTCCAGATGTCCTCCAGAGGATTGGACTTAGGACCACTTGGCTGCCCTTAACTTGGAACGTGTCTTGGTGTCTTTACTCTCACGGTGGGTTGCATTGGTGGTGGTGGATTGGAATTAACTTGCTGGGATTCTAATGATGTCTCAATGGGATTACAAATATAATTTTTGGATTGTGCAGAAAACTAGAAAGAGGATTACAATGCTTGGATGACTGAACTCGATATTTGGGTTTACAATAACTCATGACTTCACACTTGTCTGGTAGGTGCTTATGCTACTGAGCTAAATTCCTGGCCAAAATTTCCAAACTATAACATCAAAAACTTGAAGCCAGGCTTAGTGGCACACACCTGTAATTCCAGCACTCAGAAGGCTGAGGCAGGAGGACTGCTGTGAGTTCAAAGCCAATCTGGGGTACATGGTGAGACCCTGTCTCAAAAACAAAACAAAACAACAAAAAAAGAGAAAGGTACCTGGGTTCAAGAGGAGTACCAGCCTGCCCCACTCAGAAGTAAACTTTCTGAGAGCCAAAGTGGAGGAGCCTGAGTTGCCAAACCTATCTCCTGTGAATTCACAGCATAAGCTGGGATGCAGCCCTGCCCTTCAGCACCTCGGTATCAGCTCAGTGTTCTGGGCCCTGCTTAAAAATAAAAAAATCACCCCGTGTTGTAAGGATGGTTTTCCTGATTGAACAGGTGTGTGGTACCTTTACCTCGGAGACAAATATTTGGAGCAGATTTGCCTTGTACCCAGTTAATCGTGTCAGGTACTTTACTCTCCGGGGTTTTTCTTGCTGAAAGATACTGCTAAAGTACTGGGTAGGTGTGTGCCCAAGTGGCCAAATATTTATAAGATAGTCATACTGGCTTGACAATTCTGTAAATCACCATGAGGAAAAGATGTTTCAAAATAAATGTAAGTCACTGCTGTTAAATAAATGGAAATCAGTTAAATACACTGTTTATAGCACCTATTGTGAAAAAAAATATGAGAATTTGTTTTTTGAAAGCCAGTGTTAAAATAATGGAAAAGGGACCAGAGATTTAGCTCAGCAGCATAAGCGCCTGCCTGGCAATCGTGCGGTCATGAGTTCGATTCCCCAGCACCAAAAAAAAAAAAGTTCTGAGTTCAATTCCTGGTACCAAAAAAATAAATAAAGTGGAAAAAACAAGTCGCAGATTGGGAGAAAACATTTAAGTCTCTCATAAATCACTCCTATTCAGAATAGATTAACAGGTCCCAAAACTCAAAAATAAGAACTAAAAAAAAAAGGATGTTGGGGGGCCTGGGTGCAGTGCTGCTCCCCTATAATCCCAGCCCCATATCAGGGGCTGAGACTGGAAGGTCACAAGCGCAGGCCCTGCCAGAGTAACACTGTAGCCCGTCTCAAAGTAAAAAGGCTGGGGACATAGTTTAGTCCCAAATACCCCACAACTGAATCCCTAGTACTACAAAGGCGGGGTGCGTGAAAAGATAACCCATAAAATAGAAGATAAAATTTGTTAGATATCTGATAAGAACCAGGCATGATCGGTCACGCTTGTAATCCCAGCACTCCGGAGGCTGAGGCAGGAGGATCTCAAGTTTGAAGCCAGCCTGGGAAGATTCATTAAGACTGTGTCTCAAAATTTTAAGAGATGGGAGACAGGGCTCGGGCACAATGCCTGCCTGCCAAGCACCAGGTCCTGAGTTTGATTTCTGAACAAAAAAAAAGAGGTGAGGATATAGCTCAGGGGTAGAGTGTTCGCCTACAATTTGCAAGTCCTTGGGCTTAATTCCTAGTACCGACAAACAAAAACAAAACCTACAACTCAATAACAAAGGACTAATCCAATTAAAATAATGCACAAGGTATTTGAATAAACATCCTTTCAATTAAAATATATAAATGTTTCTATAAGTACATGAAAACATGGTTCACATCAGTTATTAGGGAAGTGTAAATTAAGGCCAAAATGAATTTCTTTCTTTCTTTGTTGGTGCTAGGAATCAGACTCAGACTCAGGACTCTGTGCTTGCCAGGCAGGTGCTGCGCCTCTGAACCAAATCCCTGGCCTTTTAAAAATTTTTTTATTTTAGACAGTCTATTGCACAGCATTATACTGTAAGCAGCAGGCTGAAATACTGTTCTCTTTTTTTAACTTCAGTCGATTAGTGAGCTGACTGTGGGGCTTTGAATAATCAGAGAAGCAAGATTTCTATTTAGCTTCCCTTATGTAGGACCAAGAGATTTTTAAACTTTTATTTATTTATTTATTTATTTTGTTGAGGCAGGATCTTGCTATGCAGTCCAGACTGGCCTTGAACTCACGATGTAGCCCAGGTTGGCCTCAAACTCAAAGCAATCCTTCTGCCTCAGCCTCCTGAGTGCTGGGATTACCGATGTGCACCACCACACCTGGCTGAGATTTATTAAAATTAAGATTATTGGTACATTTTAAATATATATAATGATCACATTCACCATAGAGAATTTGTACCTGTGCATGACATAACTTGATTTTTCTTTTTATTCATTTCCTGGCCCTTGTTTTGACACCTCTTCCCCTCCTTATATAAAAGCTTTGTTTCCATTTTTCTATTTTTTCTTGTCCCTTCTTTCTCTTTCCCTCCCCACTTCTGGTTCCCCTTCTCATTTGAACATTTTCTTCCCACTTCCCAATATCTATTATCCATTTTGAAGACCACAGTGAATTCCTCCTATGCACTTATTTGAATATTTAAATTAAAAAGATGACTGGACCAGGTCTGGAGAGGACACAGAATCCTCATCCATTGCTGGTGGGTTGTGAACTGCTAAACCACTTGGTCTATGTTGGGTGGTTTCTTTTCTTTTTTTGTCTTTTTCCTTTTTATCGGTACTGGGGATTGAACTCATGACTGCCTGCCTGCAAGGCAGGCGCTTATGCCGCTGAGCTAAATCCCCAGCCCTTTGGTGGTTTCTTAATAAGGGACACTTGCCGACTGCTTGCGATCCAGTCCACTCCTAGGATCTACTTGGGAGCTCTGAAAGTCCCTATGCGCGGGCAGGTGTGCACAGACGTGTGATTCGTAACAGCAGGAATCTGGAAGTGAGGGCTGGGGTATAACTCAGAGCTCCTGGGCCACAAACACCAGCAAAACCCTGGAGATAACCTGAAGGTCCATCGGTGAGTGAGTGGGTAAAGACGCATGACAACCCCAGACAACGGCAGGCCACTCAGCAACAGCAGGAGGAAGGGCTGACCGGAGGGCCACAAAGGGTCCTCAGAATGGTCACACTGAGGCAAGGAAGCCAGACCCAGGGACGCTGCTTTAGGAGTCCATTGAGCGGGCAGTGCATGAGGAGGAGTGAGGGAAGGTCCAGGAAAGAGACGGGGCACAGGGGACCTGCCTGTTCCGGTGCCGGGGACGGGCCCAGGTGTAGACTTACAGGATGTGATCGGACAGTATGGTGAATGTCTAAAGCATTTTAAAAATTTTATTACAGGGAAAGACACCTTGCGATGAATTCCCCTCAAAACAGTCCCCTCAAAAGTTAAAAAAAAATAAGGAAAAATAGAAACAAAGGTTTATGTAAATGGGGAGGAGGATGGGGGAACGGAGAAAAGAAGAAACAAGTTCTGTCCTGTACAGGTGCAAACTCCCTACGGTCAGTGTGATCATTCTGTGTACCTAGGACGTACCAGCAAAGTCTGACCGAAGGAAACACAGGCCCCAGGCTTCCAACACACTCATCCCAGCTTCCCTGCTGCTTTCCCAAGCAGCTCTAAAGCCCTCTTTTGTGAGTGTCTTTAGCCGCACTGTCATGGCCGCCCTGATGCTCTCAATCAGTCCAAAACGTCTACCTTTCAGAGTCATTTTCACTTTGGGAAAGAGCTGGAAGCTGCACAGCACCAGATCCAGTAAATAAGGTGGATCAGGACTCACTGCAGAGGGGTTTTTTTTTTTTTTTTTTGTCTTTTTCCTTTTTTATTGGTACCGGGGATCGAACTCACGACCACAAACTTGCAAGGCAGGTGCTTATGCCGCTGAGCTAAATCCCCAGCCCCTAGAAGGGTTTTTTTTGTTGTTGTTGTTTTGGTTTTTTTGTCTTTTTGAGACAGGGTCTCACTATGCAGTTCAGGCTGGCCTTGAGCTCACTTTGTAGCCCAGGCTGGTCTCGAATTTGCAAGGATCCTCCTGCAAATCCTCAGCCTCCCGAGTGCTGGGTTTACAGGAGTGCACCACCATGCCTGGCTCATTTACTGTATATTTTGACCACTCCTTGTATGTCAAGACGTCAACGTCAACCTTGAAGTACATGCAAGCTGTTAAAAAACAATCTTAAAAGTAAATGAAAAAGAATTTCATAGTTAAACAACTTCAGCTAAAGGCCCCATCAGCTGACCAAGTCTTGCAAGATGCCACACGGCCTACAGTTCAGGAGGGCTTTCAGGAGATCCTGGCGTGCAGAAGTCTGAGCTCCGAGGTACACAGAACGTCATCTCAGCCTGCACCATGACCCCCTGTTCCCGTGAACCCCTGCACACTCCTCTGAATCAAGATGAAAACCTTTCTGGGTGGCTCCCCGAATCCCAGGGACCCACAGAGTAGGCCCGGGGAGCAGACGCAGGAGCATAAGAACAGGGTCAGGGACCCCCAGCCCCCTCCCCTGTGAGGGGCTCAGTCCAGATCTCAGGGGTACCTGGTGGCTCTTGAGGAGCTGGCCCTCCTCAGTCACTCGCTTGTGTCGTCTCCTTTGCAGGGCCTTGGCCTCTGTCCTTGCCTGCCACAGTCTCTCAGGGGTCACGTAGGGCCTGAAAGGCGGTAGTCTGAGCTCGCTCCCCCAATGGGCCTGGTCCTGGCCTGCACTCGGCTCCCCGGTCCCTTCCAGGTCCTTCCTGGGACAACAGACAGGGGTCCTCAGCTCCCGGCCCGGGGCACCGAGTTCTCCTTAATGCACAGGACAGCAAACCAAGTGCAGAATCCTCCAAGTCACGGACACTTTCATGTCAGAGTCAGCAGGGTCAGGATTTAACTCTTTCAGAAACAGGCGGCCAGAGAAAACTGGAATTTGAGGTCGGGAGACCCAAGTCCAGGGCCACAGAGCTTGAGACGGCAGCTCAGGATGTGGACCTGTGACTGTCTCTCCGGTTCCATTTAAATATTTTTAATAATAAAAATAATAATAATTTGCAGTTTTGAGCCTGGGGTTGTCCACGCATGTCCTCCCACTACTGTGGGAGGCTGAGGCAGGAAGATTGCAAGTTTGAGCCTAGTCAGGGCAATTTACCAATTTAACCAATTTAGCAAGACCTTGTTTCAAGGTTTAAAATACTAAAACGGGTGGGGATGGAGCTTGGTGTGAAGGCTCTGGGGTCAAGGCTTTCATCCTGTACTTATTATGCATATGCATATTTTTATTATTTCGATTCTTTTTGGATTTTTTTTTTAATTTTTTTTTGTCTTTTTTGTTTTTTTTATCGGTACCAGGGATCGAACTCACGACTGCCTGCTTGCAAGGCAGACGCTTATGCCGCTGAGCTAAATCCCCAGCCCCTATTTCGATTCTTTTTGGATTTTTGAGACAGACTCTCACTGTGTGATTCAGGCTGGCCTCGAACTCAAGATGATCCTCTTGCCTCTGCCTCCTGGATGCTGGGATTACAGGTCCCCACCCCACAGCAGGCTGCACACATATACTTTTAATGGAAATTTAATTGTTATTTTCTAATAATTGCATGATTTTTTTTTGTTTTGTCTTTTTTTTTTTTTTTTTTTTTTTTTTTTTTTTTTTTTTTTTTTATCGGTACCAGGGTTCGAACTTACGACCGCCTGCTTGCAAGGCAGGGGCTTATGCTGCTGAGCTAAATCCCCAGCCCCTGTTTTGTCTTTTTGAGACAGGGTCTCATATGCAGTTCAGGCTGGGCTTAGGCTCACTTTGTAGCCCAGGCTGGTCTCGAACTTGCAACAATCCTCCTGCCTCAGCCTCCTGAGTGCTGGGATTACAGGTGTACGACACCACACCTAGCAATGACTGCATGTTTTTACATTGTCATACATATATGATTTTGTAATGTATTTTTCAATGAGCATTACAGATTTTCCTGTGTTAAAAAAATCCTTTATGTTTTTTTTTATACTAAGAATGAATTCAGGTATTTTTTCTGTAGGGCGTGGATCGGGAATCGAACTCAGGACCTCACCCTCACTAGGCAGACAGACAGTGAAGCATCGAGCTAAATCCCTGCACCCCACCCCCCAGCCCTTCTTATTTTTATTTTCATTCTGAGCCTGGCTTTGGCTAACTCCCAGTTGCCCAAACTGGACTCGATTTTTCAATCCTCCTGCCTAAGCCTCCCAGAGTACTGGGAGTAGAGATGTAAACCCCCAGACCTGGCTCATAAATATGCTTTTTTCCTTTCTGGCTCTCTCTTGATCTTTTTCTACTTAGAAAGAACACATTCTCACTCCAGGAAAACAAAATTTAAATATATACAATATATAGAAAATAATCAGGCATGGGGCTTAGCTCAGTGGCACGAGCACCTGTTTAGCAAGCTCGAGGTCACAAGTTTGATTCCCGGTACAAAAAACAAAAACAAAATTGATGCCATGATGAGCACCCTCATGTGTTGCGAGGCCTCTTGGCCTCTTTTATTTATTCTTCTCCTAATTCAATGAATAAATATTTATTGAGCATCTACTATGCATGTGCCAGGCGCAGTACCGGGCACAAGGGTCTGAGGCTGAACAGGACATATCTATATCAATGCCCCTGCAAGAAGACACGTGATAGAAGCTCGGGGTCTGCCAGAGCGGGACAGACACAGACACAAGTTTAACACTGATTATTCTTTAGCGGGATTGGTCCCCAGCAGGCCACCTCACTCTGGGGATTTAATTCCCACATCTGGGTTACGGCGGATCCTCTCAGAACCCCAGCTCACCTTGGTCTTTCTGGAGTCCCCTGCTCTTGGGTCCTGAGCTCTGAGTGCCCTTCCTCAGAGGTTTCTGAGTGCCAGGGCACCCTCTCTGGCCCTCCTAGAGTTGACGAAAGCTGATTCTCATTCCCCGTTTCTGCAGCATCTGGAAAGTTGGCCTGGAACAGAGATGTCCACGGTGCTGGCTGGGGGCTGGCTGGAGTGAAGCCCAGCTCCTCAGAGGCAGGCGCATCCCAGGGGCTGGCTGGGGAAGGCACTGGGGAGGAGGAGCTGAGAGGCAGGGAGAGGCTGGTGCCCGTCAGAAGCCAGTCACATCACCAGCACCAGGGTCCCCATTAGCACGAGGCCGGGGCGATGCTCTGAGGACAGCTGGCTAGGGCATCCTGAGTACTTCAGGACTGAGGGAGGCCCACTCATGCTTTCCGCTGCTCCAGAGCTCAGGCTCCTTGTGTCTGTCACCACCTCAGTCTCTCTCTCCAGCCTGGTGATCATGAGCCGGCTGGGGACATTAGACCCAGTCCCCAGGTCTAACGACCTGACTCCATGCATGAAATGACCCAGCTGGAGCCATGGCAAGTGAGCACCCCCGAGGCAGGGCCGGGGGCAGGACACCCGAAACGGGTGAAGCTCTGAGGGGCACAATGACGTCACGCCCATGGCCACATAATTCGTGCAGCACAGGGACCTCATGACTGTGCTTGTGGGGCAAACGAAAGGCCAGGGAAGGAAGCCCCTCCGGCCCTCTCACTTCAACTGTTGGCTTTATTTGCACGCCAGGAATTGAACCCGGGGCCTCGTACAAGTTGAGCACATCCTCTATCCCCAGGCTGCACCCCCAACCCCACAGTGACATTTTGGCCCTGGGGAAGCTGCAAGTGGAGGATGAGCTCCTCTGTGTCTGCAAGCACGTGCAATGTGGCACTTTTAAAAAGAGAGAGACTCGATGGAAAGAGGTTGGTGAGGGGCAGATGCTGCTGTGGTTGGGCTAGGAGTGCCTCAAAGCCTGGGTGGAAAAGCCTTGCTCCCCAGGTGATCGCCACTGAGAGGTGGTGGAAAATAAAGAGGCAGAGCCTTGAGGGAGGGCTTCGGATCACTGCGGTTGTGGCTTCCCCTCGAGAGCAAAGAGGGGAAGAGCAACACCCAGGCCTCCCTCTTCCTCTCTTACTTCCTGGGCTGGAGGTGAGTGGTTTTGCTCTGTCACACACCCCTTCTGTGATGGCCAGAGCCATGGGGCTCACGACCATGAATTTAAGAGCTAAAACTGTGACCAATAGAAACCTTTTCTCTTAATAAGCCAGTTATCTCTGGTATTTGTTATAGTGACGGAGCAGTGACTAACACAGAAGCCTAGGATGGATGCAGACTGGGGCCATGGAGGAAGATGGTTGGCCTTGAGTAGCTTCCAGGGGAATATGAAGGTTGTGAGGGGCCTGGCGGCCATGCAGGATACCTGCTGGACCATGTAGATCATGCTTGGTTTACTCTCAACATCTTCCTGTTATAGAAGCCAGCACTGTTTTAGTGGGAGGTTTCCCTTCTCCAACTGGGCCCATGGGGTTCACTGGAGACAACTAGCAACTTGGGCACCATTGTACCAGAAAATCCAGGCCACACCCCATTGCCATGGTGATTGGCTTAGAGATGAGCATGTGACTACGTCTTGGCCAATGAGAGGGATGCCAGAGATTTCCTTCATCTGCTGTAAAGAGGGTGTCTTCCTGTTGGGGATGCTAGATTAGAGGATTCAAGATAGGAAGAGGGTAGCCTGAGGTGGCCAGGGAAGTCCTTGTCACCTTGTAGAAAAAGACTGCTTCAGAATGAACTCAATACAGGGGAAGGCAAAGCCAAGAAATACTCATTTAGCACCTTGATCCAGCCATACCTGAAGTCCACAATGGAATTCTTTGTTACCTAAGCAGATGTATTCTAATATCTGCTTAATTCAGTTTGCACTGGATTTTTTGTCACTTGTAACAGAGTGTTAATTAAAGCAGATGGGGAGGAAGCCTGGGCAGGGAAAAGGAAAGGGGCCAGCTGGGAGTGGAGATGCCAGAACACAAGGCCAAGTCCCTACCTGGCTGAGCGCTAATACGGTGGACCCAAATACGGTGGAACCAGCATCAGCCCTCTTTCTGGTGGGACTCAGCTCTGGATGTGGCTGGACCCCTGGATCCTCAGTGCCATCCACCGTGTCCATCTGGGTGTTTCTGTTGTCCGTTGTTCTGCGGCCAAGAAGGGCACTGAATGAGGGGCTTCAGCTGCTGCACAGGAGAAACTGAGTCAGGGTCTCAGCAGCCCATGCTCTCACTACTGCTCCAGGAGCCCGGATGGAGCCTGCAGGGTGGGGGGCCTAGCAAGGAGCGCAGCAGCGAACAGGGAGCAGGGCCCGCCTACTGCGCACGCGCGGTTTCCTTATTCCGGCCATGGTCTGAGCAAAGGCTGCTGAGGACCGAGCACCAAGTACCAGGGTTACCCCGGCCGCCCCTCCACGGCAGGGCAGAGCTGACTCAGGGACGGGTGCACGCAGCTTTTCCCAAGGGCTGCTTGTCTTCCATTCCCCTTCGGTTTTGCTGTTCACAGCCCTAGAAAACCGTGAGCTCGACAAGGTGCTGGTGGTGACTTTGGTTAGCGCTGCAGCCCGCGGGCAACCAGGCCGTGCAGGCGACGCGCATGGCTGGCTGCAGGCAGAAGCCGGGGCTGTGTCCAGGTCCCCAGGAGGCCTCTCCTCCCCAGCCCTCTCATATGCGGTGCCCCTAACCCTTCCCTTCCTCTGAGCCTTCCTACCCCAGAGGCGGGTGACCCATCTGGGGACCGGCTCCCTTTGGGCCCTTTAATTACCCCCATTGTCCACTGAACTTGGAAGTCTAACACCCCAACATTCCACAAGCTAAAGTTTTTTGAGGGGCAGAGGCCCTAGGGGAAACCTGGCCGCAGCTGCAACTGAGCATCCAGACAAGAAGTGGGAAGCTCCGGCCCCAGCGGAGGGGCAGGGAGGCCAAGGACAGGCCCAGCGTAGGGTGGCACGAGCAGACTAGCACCCCGCTCAGAGCCCTGGGCACCCTTTTCTGTGAGTGGCTTTTCTGAGGTGTAATTCACGTACCAACACCCTGCGCCTTTTGAAAAGGTGCAACTCAGTACTTTCTGGTGTACACAATTGGGAACTTGTCAGCACAATTTTAGAACATTTTGATCACCCCCAAAGAAATTCCACATCCCTGGGTCAGCACCTCCGATCTCCCCACCCACTCTAGCACCGGGTAACCACTAACTTTTTGAAGTTACACATTTCCTCATTCTGGATATTTCAGAATGGAATATGCATTCTGTCTAAACGGAATCAGATGGTACATGGTACTTGGTGAGGAACTTTTTTCCACTTAGCAAAATGCTTTCCAGTTACATTTCATTTTGTAGTAAGTATCAGAATTTTATTATTATTATTATTATTTTGGTATTTTTCATTTTTATCGGTACCAGGGATTGAACTCACGACCGCCTGCTTGCAAGGCAGGTGCTTATGCCATTGAGCTAAATCCCCAGCCCCTATTTTTTTTTTTTTTTTTTGAGGAGTTGGGTTTGCACTGCTAGACAAATGCTGTACCACTGAACTATACCTTTTATTCCTTTTTCTGGCTAAATAACATTCATTGTACAGACACCACATTGTGTTGATCCATTCATTGGAATAGATTGACACATTTTAGCTACAGTGTTGATATGGATGTTCATGTACAAGTGAACACTTGTGAATGCATCTTCATTTCTCTGGATATACATTTAGGAGTAGAATTGCTGGCTCCACTGAAATGTGGTGACTCATGTTTATTTTGTTCTCCTGAATAACAGACTGTTTCCTAAAGTGGCTGCATTGTTTTATGTTCCTGCCATTGCAGACAGAGTTCCAGTTTTTTTTTTTTTTGTCTTTTTCCTTTTTATCGGTACCAGGGATCGAACTCAGGACTGCCTGTTTGCAAGGCAGGCGCTTATGCCGCTGAGCTAAATCCCCAGCCCCGAGAGTTCCAGTTTTTCCACATCCTCTCCAGCACTTGTTATTACTCATCTTTTTAAAAAAATTTTTTTTTGTCTTTTTTGTTTTTATTGGTACCAGGGATTGAACTCACCACTGCCTGCTTGCAAGGCAGGCCCTTATGCCGCTGAGCTAAATCCCCAGTCCCCCCCCCCCATCTTTTTAAAAATATAGTTGGGGCTGGGGATTTAGCTCAGTGGCATAAGCACCTGCCTTGCAAGTGTGCAGTTGTGAGTTCGATCCCTGGTACCGATAAAAACGAAAAAGATAAAAAAAAAAAAATAAAATAAATAAAAATAAAAATATAGTCAACCTAGTGTGGATGGATGGAAAATGACACTGTGGTTTGGATTTGTACTTCCCTGATGGTTAAAGGTACCGGACACCCTTCATGTGCTTATTGCCTGTCTGTATGTCCTTTCTGGAAATGTGTCTATTCAGAGCTTTTGTTCTGAATAGATACACTTATATTCAGCTATTGATATTGAGTTATCTTTTTATTATAGCATGGTAAATGTTCTTCATAAATTCTACAGTCAGTGCCTTTACTGCATTATGATTTGCAAAGATTTTCTCTCACTTATGCGAATTTTATTTCCGCTGGTCTGTCTGTTGAAGCATAGAACTGTTTAAATTTTGTTAAGGTCCCATTTATCTGTTTTTCTCTTTTGTTGTTTGAACTTTTTTGTGTCCTATCTAACAATCCACTAGATCCTTCTGTCGTAATCCAAGGTCGTGAAAGTTTGTGCCTGTTTTTGGCTTTTAAGAATTGCAAAATTTTAGCTCTTACATTTAAACCTATGATCCATTGTGAACTACTTTTTGCATTTGGGGTGAAACAGGGACCCAGCCCACCTTCATGCTTTTGGTACCGGGGATCAAACTCAGGACCTTGTGTTACCAGGCAGGCGATTACGCTGCTGAGCTAAATCCCAGCCCTCCAGCTTCATTCTTTTGTGTGTGAAGACCTGCTCCCAGCCCCGTCTGGCCAAGGACCCTTCATTCTCCAATGACTTCTCCACGCTTGTGGATATGGAAAGTCATGTGACTACTAATGTGAGGATTTATTTTCTGGATTCTCAGTTGTAGCTCATTGATCAATATAGTTATTTTTTAAAATATGGCTACTTTTTTAGACAAGCTCTCACTATATAGTTCAGGCTGGCTCAAACTCAATGATCTTCCCGCCTCAGCCTCCTGATTGCTGGGATTACAGGGGTGCCCTGCCTCAGTGTCTATTGTTATTCCATGCTGTGCTGTCTTATTATTATAGCTTTGTAGTGACTTTGAAAATGTTTTTCATTGAGTGCCTTTTTATCCCCATCTGAGACCTGCTGGGATGTCTCATAGAAATGTCTGTGATAGCAGAAGAACACAGCAGAGAAAGAAAAACAACCTATAAAATGCATATTTCTGGGAGGTGCCAAGGAAAGCCTGCTCCCATCACTCCCGACCCTGCTCTGGACCTACCAGGAAGCAGCTGGAGGAGTCTCGGTGAGCTATGGGCACTGTACTTGTCCTCACCCGCAGGACGGTTCTGGTTCCGTCTGAGCCTGGTTCTGCCTGCCGACTTGAATTCGCTTGTCACCGGGAGTCGGGAGTCGATGTGTTTGGGGAACGTGCAGCCCTGGGGTCAGGGTTTAAAGGCCAGGGACTGTTGGCCTCCTCCCACTACAGGGTAGTGTCGTGCTCCCAGGCCTGTCACTGCTTTGGTAGCCCCCAGTATGCAATGAGGTGACAATCATCACCATGCCTACCTCACAGGGGGTACTGTGTCAAGGTGGCCGCTCCCTGACAGCCTGCCCTGCTGCCTGCTCCGGGAGGCTCTTTGCTGCCAGGGCCTGCTTGGGCTGCCACCTGGTGGCGCTGTTGTTCTGGGCCCCGATGACTTTTTTCCTCCATCCCTGAGCGCTGACGGCAGGGGCCTCACCTCAGTGCTCAGTGGGCACCATGTGCTGCACCCGGCACACGGTGGGTGCACAGAACCTGACTTTGTTACTCTGAACACAGCTGAAAGCTAAGCTCCAGCTGCCCTGTGGAACAGAGACTGTTCACCCACATGAGAAGTGTGGTACCCACTGTGACAGCCGTGCTTCGAGGCCCAACCTGTCACAGTGGGCTGTTGTGCCACTGCCTGGCCCCTGGAGCAGAGGTGATGGAGCTCAGTGCTGATGCTGGACTCTGTCCCAAAGCCTGGCTCCTGGGGACCAGTCCCTTCTTAGCTACCCTCGATATTCCTAGGATGCCCCCTAGTCCCTGTGTTCAGGACACATTGGTGCAAGACATCAGAGAAGAAACACGATGGCCCACGTTCATGTGGGCACTTGGCTTTGGGTACCAATTTTTTTTAGGTAACCTGGAATTGAATTCATGACCTTGTACTTGCCAAGCAGACCTGGGCTGCTGAGCCATATCCCTGGCATGGTACTCGGCTTTGGATTGGATTGTTTGTTATGGATTAAAAACTGGTGGTTAATTGAACACCAGCTGAATTGAATCAGCATGGTTCAGAGTGTAGATGGCCCCCCTGAGGACTGCTGCCAGAATAACTAGAGACACGGAGAGGGAGAGTAGCACTGCGGGTCCTCCTAAGTGTTGTTGTTTGGACCTGTTGGTTCTCCTGGAGGAGCTGTCATGCTGGCTTCCCCATATGAACACTATCATTGTCATTGATAGTGGCTGTGGTTCCCTTGGGGAGCCCTGGTCCTTATGGCGAGCCGGAGGGGAAGATGTGTGCTGTTTAATCTCCAGGAGAAGCTTGTCACCCTGACTCGACTGTTCTCATCGTTGGAGGAATTTGGGACATCATTGGTGCTGAGGACGGCTGTGGTGCTTTTTGGGGGGAGCCCTGGTCCTTATTTTGAGCATTGCTTCTTGGCTCCAGTGCAGAACCCTCAACCTTTTGGCACAGATCCTCGACTTTCCAGCTTCCAGTGCTGACCTTTGGGCCTTCCCAGTGCAGATCCGTAAGACAGACTTGCGTGAGTCATCGTCGAGGGCTCTAGGTCTTCAGCTGGACTCATGTAGGATACTGTAGGGGATCCAGGCCCTTATTGGATTTTCTAGGTTTTTTTAGTGTTGTGCACTGATTTCTTGCAGCTTCTTGTATTTAACTCTGGGTGACCATCATAAAATAATATTATAAATTCTGTGTCCTGTAAGTATTTAATTGTTTTCCTTGCAACCCCTGACTATACCACCATTTCAGTACACACACACACACACACACACACACACACACAGTTATTCTTTTGTGCACTGAGGGCTTGCTGTATACTAAGCCTCACCATGCTGCTGAAAGCAGGATCAGAAGGTGGCAGGGACACGGGATGTGGTCCTGTTTTTAAGAGGTCCACAGCCTAGAAAAGGAGCAGACAAACCCAAACAATGGCAAGCCTGTGGGGGATGGACTGTCTGTGCGGCGTGGCGTCCTGCTCATCCCCCTGCTCCTGACCTCTCTCACTTTCCACCTTGTCATCCTGGACCTTCAGAAATTGAGACAGAACCAAAAAGTAAAGAGGGAGAACAGCCTGTCGTGGCAGCACGTGCCTGTGATCCCAGCACTCGGGAAGCTGAGGCAGGAGGATCCATGTGAGTTTAAGGCCAGCCTGGGCTACATAATGAGAACTTGTCTCAAAAAAGAAGAAAGAAAAAAAAAAAGCAGGGAGAACCTTCATTTTCTGGATTATTTTTCAAACTCTTCTTTGTAAGAAAGAACTGGGTGCTGGGTGTGGCAGTGCACACCTGCAATCCTGGTAACCTGGGAGGCTCAGAAGGACAGCAAGTCTGAGTTCGGCCATTCATTATGATACTATTTATATATCTTTAAAACATGGCAAGTAACCAGTACAAGGATGTAGAAAAATTGGGGCCACTATGCATTGCTGGTGGGAATGAAAATCAGTGCCATTCCTCTGGAACGCAGTTTGCAGGATGCTCAAAAAACTGAACATAAGGGGCTGGGGATTTAGCTCAGCTGCATAAGCGCCTGCCTTGCAAGCAGGCAGTTGTGAGTTTGATCCCCGGTACCAATTAAAATTTTTTTTTAAAAGCTGAACATAAAACTATCACAGGACCCAGCAGGAAGACCAGGACTTGAACAAGTCTTTGTACAGTGATGTTCATCACAATATTAATCATAATAGCTGACAGGTGGTGACACCCCAAGAGTCCATTGCAATAGTCGGGGACATGAGTCAGCCATTAAAAGGAATGGGAGCCAGGCGTGGTGGCACACACCTGTCATCCCAGCACTTGGGAGGCTGAGACCGGAGAATTGTCACAAATTCAAGACCAGCCTGGGTTACAAAGTGAGAGACCCTGTCTCAAAAAAGGCAAAAAATAAATAAAAGCAATGGGATTCTGAAATTTGTTACAACAGGGGTGAGCCTTGGAAACATTCTGAAAAGTGAAATAAGCCAGAGATAAAGACAAGCATCATAAGATTCCACTTATGTGAGCTGCCCAGAATAGACAAGTTCATAGAAAGTACAGTAGAGGTTACCAGGGGCTCGGGGGAAGGGGAAATGTGGCGGTTGTTGGCTAATGGCTACAGAGTTTCTGTTTGAGGTGACAAAAGTGATAGGACTATTTCCAGAAGATGAAAAATATTCCCAAAAGATGAGGAGTATAAATCAAAAGAGGCCTTTATTCTGGGAACACGAAGAGAGAGGACTGGCACACCGGCCGCTGGAATCTGGCGATCTCTCTCACGCTGACACATGGCGTGGGGGGAATATAAGTAGCCTAAGCTTAGGGCAGTGCCCTAAGGCCATTAGAGATGCACAGGTATTTCATTGGCACACGTTTGGCGCCAGGGGCAGATTCCAAAGGGTGGGGGATATAGGGTTACAGGTAACTCTCTAGGGGCGGGGGAGACAGGAGCTCCCTAATTCTGGCTGAGGCTTTTTCTGGCTACAGTGTCCTGTCTGGGTCAACAACCCTTTCAAAAAGCATCTGGAAACCACTAGATGTTTGCACAACATTGTGAATGTACCCAGTTGCACCAAAATGTATCAACTTAAGATGGACAGAGTGGCTGGGGGTGGAGCCTAGTGGGAGACCATGTGCTTAGCATGTGCTTAGCGTGTATAAGGCCCTGAGTTCGATCTCCCGCACCAAATTTAACAACAGAAAGTTAGAATAGCAAAGTTTATCTTATGTATGTTTTACTATGGTTAAAAAATTGTATTGGTTAGATCAACCCCACAATGAGCTTATACAGAGCAAGAAAGGAAGGGAAAGAGAGAAGAAAGTTTGGGAGTGTCCAGTGAGTCACGGATTTGGGGCCAGAAGTACCCCACTGGCCCTGGTTCATCCTAGATGGTCAATAAATGCAGTCCTCGGAATGAATGAGAGAATGCTAGGGGAGAAGTTGACTGCAGGGAAGGATTGTATCCCCTAGAGTGTTCTGTGTATCATGTTAAACCAGGATGATTCTTAAATCACTAATGTTGCTCAAATTCACTTCTTCGAAATCAAGTCTTTGTTGAGTTAGGTCAGTGGAGGCCCTGGATGCCTAAATCAGAACCCCAGGACATTCTGCAGAGGAGAGGGGTGTTCAAAGGTTGGGGGTGCAGGGCGAGCAGGGCCTTAGGCCGAAGAGTGAAGGGGGGGCATGGCCCACAATCAGACCACGGGTTGAGGTGGGGTCTTTCTCACGCTCTCTCAGTGGTCAAGGGCATCTACATAGAGGGAGAAGCCGCTGGAACCGCCAACGTAGTGCCCAGTCCCTGTCCGCCGCGTGTCTTGAACCAAGGTGTCCAGCAGACGGCGCACGCACGAGGAGGTGCCGGGAACGCGAGCTGCCACTCTAGCCAGAGTCGGTCATAGAGCCGCACCACTTCCGGTCCCGGGAGCGCAGGGGAGCCGGAAGTCCGGTGGGCTGCGGGCGTCGCGATGGAAGACAGCGATTATGAGTCGGTGCTGTGTGTCAAGCCGGAGGTCCACGTTTACCGCATCCCACCGCGGGCCACCAACCGTGGCTACAGGTGACTTCCTGCGGGCCCTGGCTTAACCCTTTGCCCGCCGCCCCGACACACCCACTACGGGAGCCGAGGACGGCCCTGTCCGGTTTTGGGGCCGGGGCGCGGGGGACACGACGTAGTGCTGGGGTTTTTCAGTTGGCAGCCAGAGCAAGGAGGACCCAGAGTTGGAGCCGTCTCAGTACCAGGCGCGGGACCACGGGCGGTGGGGGAGCCGTTAGAACCCAGCGCTTGGGGGCTGCTGGAGGTCCTGAACTTGGTCAGGGCTGGTGGTGTCCCAGAGCTTTCTCTTCCAGGGCTAACCAGCGGCCTTGAAAGGGGGTCTTTGAAAGCCGGCAGGGGTGAGGAGGACCCGCCAGTGGCGAATTCCATAAGGGGAGGACAGGGAGCCCGGAACCCGCCAAAAGGCCCTAAGCCGGGAGCTTCAGGCTGATGGTGGCTGGAGCCCAGGGCCCTTTCCTGCCCAGCTCCCTTCCCCCAGTGTCACCTGTGATCACAGCTTGTGGTGGTTGGATGGAACCCATCCTCATTTAGTTTGTGTTATTTTCTCTTGAGATGAGGGGGTTGGGGGTTTAGCTCAGTGGTATAAGCGCCTGGCATGCAAGTGCCTGGTCCTGAGTTAGATCGCCAGCACCAAAAAAAAAAAAAAAAAAGTAGATGTTTCTCCCAAGATGAATAAACACAAACGCTTGTAAAGGATGAGAGTATCTCTGGAAGGGACAGTAGTAACTGCCTTAAGGAAGGAGAACCAGTGTTTTACTGTGAGTCACTTACACCGTTTTTGTGTTGTTTGCATTTAATTATCCTTGTGTGAAAAAAGATACCCTTGATACAGGGAACCAGTCTGTGTCACTGAGTGCTGGCTGGTGCTGATACTTGAGGAGAGGGGTGGCTCCTGAAGGCGGGGTGTACCCAAGTGACCATGAATTACGCGGTTGGCCAGCACTAGAAGAACTGTGGAGCATCCACCTACCTGCCCATTTGTGCTTCCTGGTTGTGTTAGCACAGGCTGGTGGAGAATCTTCTGCAGCGTGATGGAAATTAAAAATAGCGTGACAGCAACAATAAGAAAAATACACTCACAGCCTGTATACAAACTGGAGATGGGACACCAGCCTAGGGATAGCTGTCTGCCCTGGTCTGCTGCTGAGTTCTGAGTTGGGTGGGTTTGGTTTCCTCTTGGTCCCCCAGAGAGTGAAGTTACCAGATGCTGGGCCTAGCTGGTCTGGCATAGAGGAAACTGCCAGCCTCTGCACGTCACCCTCCAGTTCTCCCTAGCTAGAAGCTAAGGCCTGCTGCTCCAGTAGGAGGAACTGAAACCAGGTCTGCTGACTGGTGAATTGAGCATCTGCTATTAAGTGACCCACCAACCAATCTTCACCCACACTTCTTGACAGCTGACACAGGGTTAGGACTTCCAAGAAATGTCTCCTGGAAACACCTGCAGTTCTTGGTATTTAGGGGTTTTACTAAGCAGCAGCTTTGAAGTTGTTTTGAAAGAGGCTGTTGCTGTTGGTCTGTGGCCGTGGTGGCAAACCTGTGACACACTTGCTGTAGTGGGCTGTTTGTTAGTGAAAGCTCTAAAGTGTCCGCCATCTCTGGTCTGTGGTTCCTTGGGTTTCTTTCTGCCTGGGATACCTTCGCGAATCTATTTCCTAAACATTCACTTGTCCAACATTAGCTCACACTGTTACTTTACTCTTTCTATGGATGATTTCTCCCCTGTATTTTCCCTCTGAGATGATCTCAGGGTCCCAGCTGGGTAGTCTCACTGCCTTGGTTTTAGCAGCATCTTAAACAGAAACTGCCCCCTGCCGCCAGCTGCTTCCTCTACAGAAAGGGAACCAGAAGAAATCCCTTGGGAGAAGGTCTGCAGTGTAGAGTGGGGGTCAGCAAGCTGAAACTTACTGGTTTTGAATGACCCACAAGCTGAGAAGGGTTTTTTTTTTTTTGGTCTTTTTCGTTTTTGTCGGTACCAGGGATCGAACTCACGACTGCCTGCTTGCAAGGCAGGCGCTTATGCCGCTGAGCTAAATCCCCAGCCCCTGAGAAGGGTTTTTACATTTTTAAATAGTTGGGAAATTTTTTTTTTTATCTATTTCATTGTGCAAAAATGATGAGAGTTTCAGGCTTCAGTGTCTGTATAGTGTTATTAGAACAGCCATGCTCAGTAGAAAGTATTTCCTTAAAATAACTAACGCAGTCCACATACATACTGTTTGACTTTTTCTCTTCAGCGTCAGAGTTGTCTGGTTGTGACAGAGGCTGTGTGGCCTGAAAGTCAGTTTGCCAACCTTTTTGCTCTAGAACAAGCAGCCCTTCCCATTCTCGTCCCCTGCATGGGAGAAAGCAGCAGCCTCTGGTAGAGGCTCAGTGGTTTTTTGTCCCCATAGGGCCTCGGAGTGGCAGCTGGACCAGCCATCATGGAGTGGCCGGCTGAGGATCACTGCAAAAGGGAAGGTGGCCTACATCAAGCTGGAGGACAGGACCTCAGGTAAAGGCAGGAGAGGCTGCAGGGGACCGAGATGTCACATACTCCACGTGACGAAGGCAGAGGGGCCCGGGGCTGGCCAGCCTGCTCAGGGTCCTGGATATCCGAGACCTCGTGTACCATTCAGCTGCCCCCATTCAAGGTGTCAGGTATAAAATGGAGTCTGTCTTGTCAACCCTTGTTCCTTTCTGGGGTCTGTAGGAAACCACAAGTTTTGGAGGCCAAGGAAAAGAGACCTGCAGGCTGCTGCCAGCAGGAAGCCCCAGAGCCTTCCTGGAAAAGAGACTTGCCTCTGAGGCTGCTGAGCTGGGCTCTTACTCAGGAATTCTGTTTATCAGCCAAATGGTAACTCTCCAGAACTGACCAGGCCTGATAACGGAGGAGCTGGAAACTTCCCTGCTCAACTCTGTGTGTACAAGAGGATGTTGCTTCTGGCTGCAGCTCTAGATGCTCAGAAGTGGGAGAACGGAGAGAGTGGGAAATAAAGAAAAGAGACCAAAGCTGGGGTCAGGTGGAGCCTCTCTTCTGATGGGAGGAAAGGACCTGCTCGGCCACTGTGGGGGTGTTTATTTATACATTTAGCAAGATAAAGTCACGGGACACCCCTTTGCCTAGCAACCCATTGATTGGATTGCCTTGGGCTTGGTGTTCTCTGGACTGGAGCAGCTTCTTTGCTGGGGATATTTATTGTTCTCCAGCCTGCCATGCGGTGTGATCCATCTCTAGCTTCAGCCACTCTCCACAAGAGGACAAGCCACACTGGACCGTCTTGGGGTCAGCTGGGAGATATGGTCTCGGCGGCCACCTACACCCCTAAGTGACCCTGTAGATCCCAGCTTGAGACCCCCGTTGGGGTCCACTCAGTGAGGAGTCACAGCCTTGTGTCACCTACTTTTTTCTGATATGTGGAGGATTCCCTTTGTGGAACAGAAGGAAGTGCCAAGATTTAGGGGCAGAACCCCTGTGCCTTCTGAGAACTGTGCCACTTCTGACCGAGTTGCCGTCCTTGGGCAAGGCATGTGACCTCCGGAGCCTTGGCCCCATTTTTGTTGAAAGGAAGATCACATTAGTTCCTCTCTCACAGGGCTGCTGGAAGCAGGACATGAGCAGGTATTTGTCCTGTTGCTCTGTGAGCTGTAAGGCGATCCAGAGCATTGGTTTGTTCCTTTGGAGCGTGGGGTTGATAGGAGAATTGGCTGCAACGGAGTTGGAAATGTCTGCAGCAAATTTCTGGGGCATCCCCAAAGGTGTCGAAAGAGGGTAGCAGTAGTCTTCTGGAGGAAACCTGGAAACTGACTTCAACGTGACTACATAATGGGACAGCCACCGCTCAGGGCCGAGCATCACCTGTAGGGCCCACCCCTGGTCCCCTTAACTCAGGGTCACGTTCACCCGCTTCCCGGGGAAGATTTTAATGAGCACTTTGCTCCAGGCCAGAGTTTCTCAGCCTCAGCACTGTTGACCTCTGGGCCCAAGAGGTAACGTAAGATAGACAGCAGTGTCCCTGCCTCTACCTGCCAGTCACCAGCAGCTCTCCCAAGGTGTACAACCAAAACTGTCCCCAGATTTTGTCTGCTCTCTTCCTGGGAAAGGGGAGCAAAATCAGCCCTCCATGAGGACATTGCTGAGGGCCACTGGCATCTAGGTGGGTCTGGCCCTGGCCCCGTGGTCATCCTGGGGCTAGACAAAGTGATAAGAAGCTGCAGGCACCATCAGTTTTGATGGGTTCAGCCTCATTACCCTGTCCCTCCAAGCCACAGGGCTCCAAGCCAAGAGACGCACTTGGCTCAGTCCTCACAGCAGTGACAGCAGCACAGCAGGCCGGAACAGCATGGCCCCGCCCGTGTGTGTGCTGTGAGGCGGCTCTGAAGAGCTGGCGGTGATAAAGGGGTGCATTTCCCAGGACACCTCCTGAGTCCGCTCCTTGTTTTGCCCTGTCTCTGAGACCGGTTGAGTCAGCCTGCTTTGGAGTCCTCTGTAGGTGCAGAAACTTCCTTGTCCTTTCTCAGGGCTCAAGGCCCTTCCTGCAGTCTCCCTGGTCGGCGAGGCTCTTGAAGGGCAGGGGGACCTTGTCCAGGGCTCTTGCACCAGGGCCTCAGGCCCTCAGGGTGTCCTGTGCATGGGTAAATCGGGTAGAATAGGTAGGTAGCAGGTGCAGCCTTTGTGTGTGAGCTTGTAATTTCAGGGAAAGCCGGAAGTCTGAATTATGTCACATGTAGTTTGATTTTGAAATACTTGGCAGTTAAATAAAGACAGTAAAACCATGGACTGGGTTTGACCTGTAAGCCACCTCTGACTCATATCTGATGGACGCCAGGTGTGATGGTGCATGCCTGCAATCCCAGTGCTTGGGAGACTGAGGCTGAAAGGTTGCTTCAAGTTCAAGGCCAGCCTGAGCTAATCACTAGACTTTGTCTCAAAATAAAAGAAAGGGTGTGATGGGAATCCCGAGCAAGTCTGCCTATCCGCCTGGGCTTGCCAGAGTCGCCTTGCGAGAGGGGGCCTGGTGCTGTGACAGAAGCACCAGGCTGGTGGGGCTCAGGACTCACCCGCTTGTGTTTTCAGGGGAGCTCTTTGCTCAGGCACCAGTGGATCAGTTTCCTGGCATGGCGGTGGAGAGCGTGACGGACTCCAGCAGGTACTTCGTCATCCGCATAGAAGATGGAAATGGTATGCACAGGTCGGGCTGCCCCTCTTCCAGTGTCCTCCGCCTGGGCGAGTGGTTGATCATGTGTGTTGGCCCCCAGGGCGACGGGCATTTATTGGAATTGGCTTCGTGGACCGAGGTGATGCTTTTGACTTCAATGTGGCTTTGCAGGACCATTTCAAGTGAGTGCTTGTGTGAGACATGGCTCGCGTCTCTTCCCTTCTTCCTCTGGACAAGACAACTCCCCTGTCAGGGTACGCAAGCAACTGTGTGTGGGGTGTGTGTGCTAGCAGAACGCCAGTCCTTGCAGGCAGGCCACCTTCTGTCCACTCTGCTGTCCGCGTCACAGACCTCTTACCCTTTACCCAAGGCCAGGCTCTGCCATGCCAATCAGCTTCCCCATCTTTGAGGTGTGACATCTTCCTTGCCAGCCCCGGAGCTGCCAGAGTCATTGTGACATTCCTTTGGTCTCTTCTAGGCTTGCCCCTCCCTGAAACAATAAGGGTCACTCTGATTCCCAGGCCACCCAGTAGATGCCTTGGTGTTCTTTATGGGAAGATAGGGGACAAAAATGCCCCTCTGCCATCTGCGGAGCTCTGCCACTGACTGCCAAGAAGTGGGCAGGGCCTGACCACTTGTGCAGGCACCCTTGTCCCTGATGGCTGCTGGATGGCATTGTATGGAGATTGGGGACCTTTGTGTTGGCTGTTGGCCTTCATTTCTGTCCTGACCCACCACATGAGGATTGTGCCCAGTCTGTGCCAGTGACTGGGAAGGAACGGGCCAGGCTCTCAGAGCACTTCCTGGAGCCCAGTACAAGGGATGTCATCACAGTCCCAAGCATCGTAAGACCTGGACCATCAGCCTTGGTGGAAGCTGACGCGCACGCAGCTGCCTCCGTGTCGGAGCCGGGATTTGAATTCCTGATTTCCCACCCAGCGCCCTCGTCCTGGACTGAAGCGAGTGTGCACTAATGCAGGCAGATGCTCCCTCGCCCCACTGTTCTGTCCTGGTCTCTCCCCAGGTGGGTGAAACAGCAGTGCGAGTTTGCAAAACAAGCCCAGAACCCAGACCAAGGCCCCAAGTTGGACCTGGGCTTCAAGGAGGGCCAGACCATCAAGCTCAACATTGCAGTGAGTCCTACCTTGTGTGGCTGTGTTGGCCATGGTCACGTGACGCTCGTGGGCACCCAGCCCCGCCTACCGCTGTCCTCAGGGTTCACTTCCATCAGTGCAGCTGGGTTCACCGCACACCGGCCTGTGCCAGATTTGCACCTGGTCCATAGAGACCTGTGCTCTCAGGAAGCTCAGCGTGGAGCCGAGGAGGGCAGGAGAGGTTCTGTGACGGAGGGTGCTGTGAATGCCCAGAGAAGGGGCCGTAACTGGGGGCCCCAGCAAGGCTTCCCAGAGGGGCCAAGGTGTAGGAAAGGATGAGGGACCAAAGGACAGTTCAAGCCTCTGAGTTGAGAAGCGACATCAGTCACTTGCTCAGAGCTGGTGTTTCTTTACTGGCTGTTCCAGTGGGTGAGGAAAGGTCCATGCGGCACCTCCTGTGCTGTGTCTTGGCCTTGTGGTTTGAGTGAGGAAGCCTTGGGTACCCTGGGCCAGAAGGGTGAGTGCTGGGAGTTGGCAGCTTCCGGCAGTGTTGATGTCCTGGCCATCTTTGTTCTGAGCAGCTGTGCCTCTGGCCCCTCTTGCTCCTGTTGGGGGAACAGTTGGGGTGGGTGGGGTCACCTGGCCCTTACTTGGCTGCCTGGGGAGATGGAGTTGGAGTCAAGAATTTGGGGAGCCAAGTAGGTTTGCTTTTTGAAGAAAGTTTGTGACTAAAATAATGCGTTTCCTCTCCACTCACCATCTCTTTCTCCTCTTTCCTGCTTCGCACTGGTGGTGTTTTGGGACCCTGGAAGTTGGCCAAGTGGCCGTAAGAGAAAATACGAGTCCAGTCCAGTGGACAGGTTGGGATGTGATTCTTTCTCTTGCTTGGAGGAAACTAACATTTAATGAGCATTAGCTATGGGCCAGGTGGTGTTTGCAGGCATTTCTCACGCAGGTAAACATCCTCCTGTTTGTCAAGCCCAGGGTCCTGAGGCGCAGGGAGGCGATGGGACCTAGCCAGGGGCTTGGCACTGGGGCCGACTGGACGGCACCGTGTGGCTGACCTGCTGCCTCTCCAAGGCGGAGCCCTGGCGTCTTCCTCTGTGTAAATTGCGCTGCCTTCCAGATCATACTTCGCATTCAGTTTTGTGTTTTCAGATGTTTTATTGAAGTACAGTATGCACACATAGAAGTGCCCCTATCACAAGTGTAGACTCAGTGAGTTTTACAAAACCAAGCTTAGCTAGGAACTTTTCCCGCATTACGAAGCCAAAGGCTGCAGCACTGGGGAAGGCCTTTCCCTGCTGCTCCCCAGTTCCTGCCCAACCCGACCTTGGAGGTGCTAGAGTTTGTTCGTAGCCTTCTCATGTGGAGCCCTGTACTTCCTTCCCTTTTGTGTACGGCTTCTCTAATTACCAGCTGGGAGAGTCCCCGGGGTTGGTGCGTGTAGCGTGTCCCTTTTCACTGTTGTGACACGTACCGTTGTGAGAATACCTAGTTTATCCGTGTTCCTAGGGGTGCATGTGGTAGTTTCCCGGTCGGGGCGACTACACCAGAGCTGCAGTCTGGCTGGGGTTCACGTCGCTGTGCACAGATGCATGCTTTGCTCCCAGGTCAGCTTCCAGGAGTGGGGTTACGGTGCCGTAAGTTCCTGTGTTGAGCTGTTGCACAGCCTGTTAAGTGTTTATTTTTACCACTGCGTGTTAGATTCACAGAATAGTGGGTTCCACGTTGGCATATTTGTACATGTGCAACACACTTTGGGCATCCCTCCCCTGAGTCTTTCAGAGTAGTTTCACTGACTAAGGCTGTGCCTGAATTGGCTCCTGTTCCTGGGGATTCACAGTGGTCAATGCTTTAGCCATTCTGGTGGGTGTGTCACTGTGGTTTTAACATGCATTTCCCTGATGACACATGAAATCATGTGCTGGGGTTTTCACTAAACATATTGCTGGTAGATTCAGAATTGTGCTGCATTGAATAGAGTCCTGTACAGTGAAGGTGCTAATATGACCATCTTCTGGCTATACGGAGTTGGGGACCTGGGGTTCCCTCTCAGTTTCCCCTTTGGGGTTTTTTGTTGTTATTGTCGTTGTTTGGTACCGGGGATTGAACGCACAATTGCACTTGCCAGGCTTGTGCTGCTGGGCTGTATCCCGGCCCGCTACGCTTGGGGTTTTCCGATGCAGCTGGACCTCAGCAAAACTGACGGATTTGCACTCGCTTCCTCTCTAGAACATGAAGAAGAAGGAAGGAGCAGCGGGGAGCCCCCGAGCCCGGCCCACCAGCACAGGAGGGATAAGCCTGCTTCCCCCGCCCCCTGGGGGCAGAGCCTCCACATTGGTCCCACCCCCTGGGGAGCAGTTGTCGCTGGGAGGGTCCCTTGTCCAGCCGCCAGTTGCTTCTGGCTCAGGTCAGTGTTTGGGGGTGCTGCTGATTCTGCACCTGGGGGTTGCAGCCCAGGTTTTCCTGCCTCACACTTATCTGTCGCTTTGTCCCTGTAGTTGGCAGACAGGACATGGGCGCCGCAAACTAGATACCTTATTCCCCAGACACCTTTGGGCTCCCTGATAGCGTGAAGATCCTGGTCCTTGAGGCATGGAGGGACCGCAGACACAGACACCTCTGTGCCCTCCAGTGGCAGGATGAGTCCCAGGCACAAAGGACACTAGCAACCCACGCGATCTGGGAAGGCTTCCCTGGGCAGGGGCACTGAGCTGGACTGTGAGGAAGGAGAGTGGGCCAGAGGTGCTGGCATTCAGGGCGGAGAGGAGAGTGCAACTGGGTCAGACATAGGGACCAGGCGTGCCTGGGCGATGGACGCAGCACGAGGTGTCCTGAGGTGAGCAAGAGGTCACCCTGGAGCTGGAGTTTGGAGCGAGCTCCTCTGTGGACGCTGGGAAGCTGAGTGGCAGTGCCCTGCACAGGTGGCATGGCCCAGCCCTTTCCTCTACCTCCCCAGCTGACTGCATGATGTCCCTGGTCATCCTTGGGCTGCCTGTTTCTCACAGCTCTCACACCCAAGCCTCCCAGCTTTCCTGGCTCTTGGTTGCTCCTCTGTCCAGAGGTCGGGCATCCAGCCCAGCTCACTGGGGAGAGCGGCAGGAGGCACAGTCAGGGAGCCCCTGCCCTGGTCCCAGGAATCGCTGTGTGTACATTATTTCTAGCGTCTCCCAGGTCCAGGGCAGCAGTCTGCGTTCCTGTTCGTGTTCCTTTATGAATGCTCACTAAAGCAGAGAGCTGCTGCCTCAGCCGTCCCTGAGATGCTGGAGCACCCAGGTTGTGGCCGGGGAAGGCTGAGGCCTCGGGAACCCTGCAGGGACAAAGCCCCTGACTTACAATGGATGGAGTTATGTCCTGCTGAGTCCACCGAAGGCTCAAATTATAAATCAGAAACCCAGAAACTCAGTGGCTCATGCTGTAATGCCAGCCCTGAAGGAAGGTGAAGCAGGAGGATTTCCCAGCTTAGTGAGATAAGAGCTGGGGATGTGGCTCAGTGGTAGACCTCCCTTGGGTTTGATTTCTGGAACTGGCCAAAGAAAGCATCCTGGCTGGGGATTTAGCTCAGCAGCACAAGCACCTACCTCGCAAGTGCAAGGTTGTAAGTTTGATCCCTGGTACCAAGAAAAAAGAAAGCACCCTAAAAGCCATTGATAAAGTTAGAAAGCTGTGGATAAAACCATCCAGCCAAGGACGTCTATACAGCAATGTCTCTGCTCTTGTGGCTTCTGCTCCAGGTCCGAGGCGGGTGGTCAGACGTCCTGCAGACAGGGCGGGTCAGGCAGTGCTCATTAAGCTGACATCCATCAGCACTGCCTGTGTGCTCGAGGCCGGACCGGCTGAGCTAAGGTTTTAGCTCACATTCGCCTGGTCCCCAGGAAACAGCTGCTTCTCTGGTTCTCACCCACAGGACTGAGTGCAAGCAGTGCCCACAGCACCCATCTCTTGTGAGAGTCCAGTGAGCTCATCTGGGTACCGCACTCAGAGCTTGTCTAGAACCGCATCTAGTCTGAGTGTTCAGGACAGGCCGTCCCTCTCACTCTATTAGTGTCACCCCACTATGGCCACAAAGTGCCGGGCCTGTGCACAGCGTTCCAGGCACACTGGCCTGTTGAATGCTCTCACCAGCCCTACGAGCAGTCATGGTACTGTCCTCACTTTAGAAATGATAAGACCAGAAAATCGGTCAGCTCCCATGGTCAGAAGACCAACAGTGTGTGGTCTTGTAATCCTGAGAGTCTGAGACCAATCTAGGCTACATACCAAATTCTCATTCATTCATTCATTCTCTCTGTTTCTTTCTCTCTTTCTCATGCTTTTGCTCAATCTCTCTCGTCCTGTCACTCTCTGTCTTTGAGACAGGGTCTCATTTTGTAGGCTGGCCTCAGACTGACAGTGATCCTCCTGTCCCAGCCTCCTGAGTCCTGGAAGTCCAGGTATGCACTACCAACACCCAGTTTGCACAGTGAGTTCAGGGCCAACATGAACTACATGGCAAGACACCATCTTGAGATGGGTGGGGTGGAACTCTTCTGTAATCCCAGCATTGGGGAGGCTGAGGCAGGAGGATCATTGGAAGCTCAAGACCAGCCAGGGCTACAGAGTGAGCCCCAGGCCAGCCTGAACCATTCAGCAAGACCCTGTCTCAGAAAGACCCTGGCTCAAAAAAAAAAGAAAAAGAAAGACCCAAGGCCTGCCTGGTCTGTCTCCCTGAGGGGCTGTGGTGAGTTTCATGGTTAACATGGTTAAGCACCTGGCAAGCTGTAAAATTCACCATTCTCGGGGCCTCATTTTATCTGTTCCTCAGCTCAGTGCAGAGGAGGACAGCAGATCAGTGCGAAGGCAGAGGGTGGCGGGCACAGGCCCTTTTGAAGGGACCATTGGGAACAGTGCCAGCAGAGTCCCAAAGCAGGTGCCACAGCCCCTGCCTCCCACCTGGTGACAACATCCACGGCCACGAGGCCCACTTCTGTGTCGACTCTGCTCTTCTGCAAGGCTCTCTCTGAGCCTTGACCCGGGTCGGGGGCCTGGGACTTGGCACACACCTAGCATGAGGTGCTCTCGCTATCTGCATGCAGCGACAGGCTTTCCGTGCAGGTGACCTTCCAGCCTGGGACATTCTCCGCTTGGGGCCAGAGTGGGTTTCCACACACTCTTCCGGCATGAGAGACGGTGACACATGACTCACTGCACCTTCCTGTTGCTTACTGCTCTGAGAGCCCCTCCAGGGCTCCTAAGGCGACCATGGAAATGGGCAACTCTCGGGTGTCTGGATGCCCAGAAGCACCTCGGGGTGTCTGTGTGAGGTGTCTGTCTCAGCCTCCCGGAGCCATGGCACAGCAGTGGCTCTTGTGATTCGGTCACTGACAAAACCAGAACAAGCTCTCTGACCCCCTTTTGTCTCTGTTTTCTCCCTACCCATTCAAAATGGGGACATCAACAGGAGGTGCCACTATGTCCTGGCCACAGCCCAAGCCTGCCACTGCTGCCACTGCTGACATCTGGGGAGACTTTACCAAATCCACAGGGTGAGGAGGGCCGCACTGTGGCGGGGCTGGGTTGGGTGGGTGACACCACACATGATCCTCCCAGTGGGCAGGTCTCATTGGACACTTTGGAACCAGTGGAAGGCAGAGCCTGGGGTGGCACATTGTCCACCGGGCCTCTCTGTGAAGGTTTGTGCCACACCCCACTGCCTGAATGAGTGTGGTCCTCTGAGCCGTCTCACCACGTGCCTGGCTTGTCCCCAGCTGCCCCAGCACAGCAGGCCATCGAGGTCCTGACTCAGCCTGGCCACACCGCACAGGACTAGGCCCTGCTCGGGGCCAGGCAGAGAGGTGCGCAGCTCTTGCTACACCGTCAGCCATGCGGACGGCCTAGGCCTGGGTTGCCCATAGGGAGTGGCTTGGACTCTGTATGTGGTCTGTGTTCCAGCCACTCAGTGCTGCCGCTGCAGCGTGGAACAGCCATGCACAGGATGGACGCGAGTGGGTGCAGCTGCATGCAACAGAACTTTACTTACAGAAACGTACAGGCGTGATGCAGCTAACACAAGAGTCTTTAAAGAAAGTTTGCATTAGCTAAACACACAGCCACGTCTAGACTTGGTCCTTGAATCACAGTTTGCTGACCACTGCGCTAACCATTTAGGGACTGCCTGCATAGACCAGTGATGGAGAGCCTTTTAAAGGTTTCCGTGATGCAGACATCCCGCTGCAGCATGTGTGCCATAGGTTCGCCACCACTGGCATAGAGCCCTGGCCCAGAGACTCTTCTCTCTGCTCTTAAACAGCCCAGCGCTCACTCTTCCTGTGTCCCCCTTACAGGTCAGCTTCCAGCCAGACACAGCCGGGCACAGGCTGGGTCCAGTTCTGATTGGAGCAGCATTCTCACGACACTGCATCTGGGAGGGAGCTGCCTTTTCCGGGCTGAGATTGGAGCTGCAGCGCCTGGCCAGCTCCTGCAGTGTCCTCTCCTCTCCTTGCTTGCTCTGGACAGACTGGCCCCATGGGGCAGTAAAGCGGCACCGTGTCACAGTGCTCTGGGATTCGGGGATACAGCTGGAGCTCAGGAGAAGAAACACTCCGGGACCTCTCCCCCGCTCAGCGTGAGGGCGACTGAGACTGCCCTTCCTCCATTGCAGTGACCCGCATTAAACATGAGCCCCAAAGCAAAGGAATGGGTTGAGTTTGTGGCCCGGATTCAGAGCAGCCCTCTTTGGGGGTGACGGTTGTCACAGGGTCACTGTTGGCAGGAAGCTTTCTACACTTCCCTTAGTGGCAGCCACTCAGGTGCCCTCCAGAGAAGGACTCCCGCCTCATCTCTAGTGGGTCTTCGGGCTGGGCTTGGCCTGGCCTTCGGGAAGCTGGAAGGATTAAGCCGCTTTTTTCAGGTGTCCTGCTATGCTTTGCTAACATGCGAATCTGCACTAACTCGCCTTTGCAGCGTGCACCGCGCGGACTTCTGGAGGTGCTGCCCGCTGGCTGCCCGGGTTCAGGCAGCGCACATCTCTGCCGCTCACCTGGTTCCCGTCTGCCGGCCAGGTGGGCAGTGCAGGGCGAGACGAGCATGGAAGCCAGAAGGAACGGCATGCAGCAGGAAGGTGCAAGCCCGTCACGGAGTCCGGCAGCCCTTCTGCCCACTGGCCACTCTGGGCACACGGGTTCCCAGCACGGCAGCTCCTGGCGGACGTGGATTTCCTCACTGGTGGTTTCTGAAGTGCCTTAGCCGCAGACAACTGCTTAACTACCTTCTCCTTCAGGGACTGGAGTGACAGGCAGAGGGGCTCCGGGCGCTGGAGCGCACCGCCTGGAGGACTGGTTTACAAAAAACATTTTGTCTGTGTGCACCTTGGAGATTTCTTTATTCAATTTTAACCTTACCTCTCAGTTGAAAGATTTCTTTTGTGAAAGGTCAAAACTACGAGCTAAAAAAATTGACCTTTTTGTGGGACCAGATTTTTAAGATTAAAGAAATAAATATTCTACTTCTGTCAGTGTATGTCAGAGATGCATATGTTTTGTCTGCACGGCTGCTCAGCCCTCCAGGACACCCACTAGGTCACCTCCCAGGGTGGGGCCATCAGCTTAGCCAAAATGGGGACCTTGACCCTGAAGCTGCAAGGCCATCAGTGCTGTCTCCTCTGTGGTTCCAGGGTAAGCTTTTCTCATTTTGGGGACAGGTAAAGGTGGCAGCTTGAATCACCCTCCAGAGGATGGACTGTCCCAGAGTGCTGCTGGAAAGAGCCCCCTGCTGGCACTGACACCTCTGCCTACCCTGCATCCCCTGCGGAGGAGGGCTGTGCACAGCCGGGCTCAGGCAGGCCTAGAAAGGCCATGGGGTTTTTTGCGCCTGAGGATTCTGCGAGAAAGTTGCAGTTTTGGGCTGGGATATGGTTCAGCAGCACTGCTCCTGCCTGGCAAGTGTGAGGTCATGGGTTCAATTCCTGGTACCAGAAAGAAAAGAAAATTGCAGCTTTCACTGTGGGTTGTAAGAACAGCTACAGTCTAATGAACTCCTGGGCAGATGAAAGCAGGGCCTTCCCACCCACTGGGAGGACAAGACGGGCACCCCGAGGTGGTTCGTGTCTGTCCCACATCTCTGTCACTTCCCAAGTTACCCTGAGTGCCTGCTGGCTGAAGTAAGAAAGCTCGGGCCTGGAGGAAACGCCTGGTCAGGAGTGCGTTGCTGGGAACGAGACAGGCGGGGCTTTGGATCCAGGCTGTCCCCTGGCGAGCAGGGACGGCTGCGTCCTTCACCCTGGCATCAAATCGGGTAAGGCATTAAGCACTAGCAGGTGCCCTTGCAGTTGGTCCTTAGTTTTTTCTAGGGTCAAGTAATGCCCAGACCAGGGCGAGGAAGAGAGTAATGATCTGGAATCAAGGCGCTCACTTGAAATGTACTTTGAGAGGCCTGCTGGGGACGGGACAGTTTGGTGCTATTGCCAGCTGAAATCCCAACTGAAGAGAGAAATGATTGACACAGGACCAGGGTCACCAGGAGAAACCATCAATGTACAGCCAGGCGTCTCTGCAGTTATACCCGAGATTGGAGCTTAGAAATCGGTGGGGGAGTGTGACTTGGTAGGGTAAGGGCCTTGGGTTTGGGGTTGAGAGACCTCAGCCCCTTTACCTAGGAGACTCAGGTACCCTGGGAGGTGTGGCATATGGGCACAGAAGTGACCACCATGATCTCATCCTAGTATTCGCAGCCTTTTTAAGCCTCTCCTTGAATGTGAGTCAAACTTGCAGCTTCTTCCCCAGTGTATGCCCCCATGTTTTTAAAATGATGAGACAGGGGAACTATGACTGGCACCAACAGCCACAACCACGCAGGAGGATCACAGGAATTCAAGGCCAGCCTGGGCAACACTGAGGCCCCATCTCAAAACAAAAAGAACGGCCAGGCATGGTGGCACATCCCTGTATCTCCAGCACGAGGGAGGTAGAGGCAGGAGGATCACTGCGAGTTCAAGGCCAGCCTGGGCTACATAGTATAACCCTGTCTCAAAAACACAAATGGTCAGGGTTTTAGCTCAGCGCCGTAAGCACCTGCTTAGCAAACTCAAGGTTGTGAGTTCGATCCCCAGTACCAAAAAATAAAAAAGAACTGAGCAAAATGTGATGAGGTGGAACATGTAAGGTGGTGGTACCTGCCCAAAGTCTCATCGTAAGTGTGGAGCTGGGAGCTTAACCAGGGAATCTGGCTTTACTATCCAAGCTTTTCATCAGGCTGCACTCGTGAGAAGTGCTTCCCTGCAGGGCCTGCACGTAGAACTGCTCAATGCACACGTTCCCGGATGCTCTTCTTAGGCGAAGAAGCCTGGGTGTAGCAGGTCTCCATGGCAGGCCCAGGGGCGGGGCTTTACCCCACTGGTGACTGGAAGCTACCGAGGTCCCCTGTGGCACACAGTAAGCGCTCAACAGCTAATTCTTTGAGTAAGGAGTGAGAAAGATGCCCTTTGGAGTGGACTGATACAAGGCCAGTTTTTCTTCAGTAAGTCTTATAGAGACTTTAATATTACCTTTCCTATTTATAGACATGAAAACAAAAATGAGTATTATAATTTTTAACACTGTCACAGCAAAAGATTGGAAGTCACCCACATGTCTATACGTATTAGTTTGTATTCCTGTAACATCCACCCCAGAACTTGGCAGCTTAAAAGGACACATTTGTTATCTCTCACGGGTTCTGTGGGGCAGAAGGTGACACTATGTTGTTCAGATAGATTCATTGCTCACTGCTGTAGCCTTATTTGGGTGGCACATTTCTACAAAATGTTGTACTTTTTCTGCATTTTACGTATTTCTCTAATCTCATTTGAAATGAGGGATTCCTCTGCCTCTTTCTGCTCCGCAGAGGAGATTGCCATAACCTCTTGCTGTTGGGAGATGATTACCCACAATCCTACAGCGGGAGAAGCGTTGGTTCAGCTGTGATCATGTGACATTCTGCATACCACGCTACTTGTATTGCAAGATACTGCTTGCTTATCAAGTTAAAATTTACTACAAATGTTTGCTCATTTCACAATCTAAGGGTTTACTGTGTATATATAACATACATACACATGTATAAAAAATAATATATATAGTTAATTTGAATAGACTATCTCTGGAAAGATACATAAAAAACAATGCTTGGGGCTGGAGGTTTAGCTCAGCGGCATAAGCGCCTGCCTTGCAAGCAGGCAGTCGTGAGTTCGATCTCTGGTACCGATAAAAAGGAAAAAGAAAACAAAAAAAAAAAAACAAAAAAAACCCCACAATGCTCTAGGTGGTCTACAGAGTGAGATTAGGTGACTAGAAAACAGAAATGGAGAAATATTTTCATTTGACAACTTTCTGTTCTATTTACGTTTTGAACCATGAATCAAAAGGTCACCTGTAATCCTAATTCCCAAAGATAACATAGTTAGTTTTAGTGTTTTCTCATCTTTTTCCTATATTTACATATACAAGAAAAACCATATATAAATTACTTTTCTTTTACAAATATGAACTTATTCTGTATTACTGTTCTAAAGTCTTTCATTTCGTATATTGCAGCTATCTCTCTAGTTATTAAATTTTTTTTGTAACTTTATTGCTTTTTTTTTTTTTTTTTATCTTTTTGAGACAGGGTCTCGCTGTGCAGTTCAGGCTGGCCTTGGGCTCACTTTGTAGTCCAGGCTGGTCTCGAACTTGCAACAATCCTCCTACCTCAGCCTCCCAAATGCTGGGATTACAGCAGTGTGCCACCATGCCCAGCTTTTTCTGTAACTTTAGAATGACAGCTCATAGTATTCCCTTATGTGAATAAAAAAAGATTAATTATGCAAGTCTTCTGTGATTGGCCATTTAGGTCATTTTAATTTCTTGCTATTAAAGTCAAGCTTTGCAGAAAGACTGCAAGTCAGCCTTCAGATGCCCAGCAGGGCTATCTAACCAGAATGCCCAATCCTCTAAGCTTCTTGGTTAATGCGGTTTTACTGATGGTGAGCAGAATTTACCCAGCTGAGCATCGGGACTTGGCAGGCATCTTCCCTTAGCAAGCTGGGAGTGGTGACTGTGGCAGTTAGTTTCCCTGTTACCTCAGCTGTGGGTTTAGGACCCTCTACAGTGATCAGGTGAGCACCTGGTGTAACTCCTGTAGGGTGGCTCATTCTGGGGTCATTGGGGTGGGCACCATCTGGTTAAGGGACAGAGTGACCAGTGGTGGCTGCACTGGGGATTGAAATGACTGCAGGCCAGGCAGAACTGCACCAGGCTAGGTTGAGCTGAGCTAGGAGCAGAGGGGCAGCTGGAGATGGAGACTTCCCTAGTGTAAGTATGTGATTCCCTGCTGCACGCTGCAGCTGGTCAGGGTGAGAAGATCAAGGAGAAATGAACTGTGGTTCTGTCCCTCCTAAAACTCAAAGAGAGGCAGCATGGTATACAGGGTGAACCATGGGACGTGAGCCAATAGACTACTTGTCCACAGGCAAGGGGTTCCACCTTCTGAGCCTCAGTGCCCCATTTGTAAAATCCTAGAACCAGCTTTGTAGTTCTGATCTGAAAACCTGAGGAAGACTCCAGCACAGAGT